GATTGATTAGCCTTCTTCCGAGTATGTGTTAGCATATGTTTCAATTCCATAGATCGAGCAAGACTAGCTGCCATGAAACGAGATTTCAGCTTTTGCCAAATTGTGGTGGAATTCTTAAGAGTATGAACTTCCATCAATACTTCGCGGGAGAGAGTGGCAAACAACCAAGCACGAACGGTCTGATCAAGTTTCAACCAATGATAATATTCAGGATTCACGGTCTGAGCCTGATGTAAATCATAGATATACATCGGTGGGGCGGGAAGAGATCCATCAAGAAAACCCAACAGACCATTCGCCACCAAAAAGGACTCAAATTGCGTTCGCCATGGCAAATAATCTTCAACAGCTAAAAGCTTAGTGGTAACAATTTGAGAAATAGAATTACCAAAGGTCATCCCTTGAGCCAAAGCAGCAAAAGTAACCGGCATGGAGGAATCTGTTTGCCGGCGACCGATAGGCTCGTGTGACGTTGGAAAAACAAGACCAGGGCTGCCGGAGAGAGTATGGCCACCAAAGCGCGCGCGTAGGGCTGCTGCGCTACTGGTTTCAGCAACAGAAGTGTCAGGGAAGAGAGGTTGTGGCTGAAGTGTTGGCGGCGTTGGGGTCCAGGTAAAGATTGGTGGGACCCATGTGGACTGCAACGGCGAGAATGAAACCTCCGGTTGGTCGAGAGAGGACTGCAGCGGCGTGGAGAAGGTGCCCGGATCCTGTATCGCGCTCGAAACCGGAGCCTCGGTCGCCGGAATGTAAGCGGCGGCGGTTGAAACCGAGGCTGGCACGGTGGCTGCGGCGGATGCTGCGCTCGAAGAAGACATGAAAAAAAAAATTTATTGCCTAAAACCCTAATGCTCTTGATACCATGTGAAAATAATGGAAAGGCATACATAATGTGGTAGCCTAGATGTCATATATATAATAAGAGAGTTCTGAGTACATTAGGAAATAAATAAATATGGAAACCTAATTAGTAACCTAATTAAAGTATTATTACACTATTAGTAATGTCTAGTAATAATCCGAAAGGTGAAAAATTAATATAGCTAGACCTCTTGCCTTACGAAAAAGAGAATGGGAGCCCCGGTCAAAAAGCGTAAGGTGAGACTTGGGTATCTTTCGAAAGAAATGGCGTTCTCGTGCCAACATGACAAGGAAAACTAAACTTAATCAATGAACTTGGAGGATATTGAAAAAACTAGCTTTAGTCCTCCGCGTACTTCAAGTATACGTCAAAGCATAAATGTGCCGAGACGGTTTAGCTTAGTTGTACACCATGTCTACTCTTTGCATAGGCGTAAATGATTGTTCCTAATTTGTGGTCTACTGAGTTCCTTGTTCCTAAAAATAGCCCTGAAGTTCCTAAATACATTAAGATAAAGGGACCACTTTCATTATTACCCATTCACCATCAAATTCACAAGTCCTTCTGATCAGTAGCTAGCTTATTAGTGAATGCTGTCATTACTTTGAGGATGTTGTGAATAATTTTGTCAAATAGTTTAGCTTGAGTACAAAGATGTAGTTTAAGGAAGAATTATCTTGATTTGAACTGTCTGTCCTGTGAATATCCCTTTAACTACATGTGTATGCTAACTATTTTAAATTTCGTGTGGTGATTATCGTAAGTCCCATTGTTCGATTTGCTTGAGGACAAGCAAAAGCTTAAGTGTGGGGGAGTCTGATAAGTCCGTATTTAGACACGCATTTGATGCGTGTTCGGGTCGGATTTTGATGATTTTTCCTGGCTTCAAGGCGTTGCAAGTCTCAATTTTGGCTCAAGCTATGTTTAACAGGCATTGGATCGAGTTTCATAGCATTTGGAGTTGATTTGAAGAAGTTAGAGTCCGGCAATCGGCGCTTGAGAGGCATTCGGGAAGGATTTGAAGGCATTCGAGAGAGATTTGGAAGATTTGGAGGCCACCGGGAGATTCACGATGAAACTCTGGTGAAGAAAGAGCATTTGGATCGACGTCGTAGGCATTCAGGAGCATTTGGAACGAGAAACGAAGAAAAACGGTGAAGAAAAGGGCAGGCACGGCCGTGCCTAGGTCAGGCACGATCGTGTCTGCCATCTAAATCAACACGGAGCTACTGGCGACCAGACACGATCGTGTCCGGTGCAGGCACGATCGTGTCTGCATAATTTTTACGCGTCTCTTCCGCAGACACGGTCGCAGGCACGATCGTGCCTGGCACCGTGTCTGGCCCCGTTTTGTCCTAATTCAGCTCAAATTCTCCTGTTTTCTATAAATAAAGCCTCCATACCCACTTTTGGGGTTACGAACTTTGGAGAGAGGCCTAGGGACGAATTTATCTGCGTTTTTTTTACGTTGTTTAATCCAAGAACCTGGGATTCTTTGTAAGTTCAATTCTTTAATTAATGACAATTATTTCTATTCATCCCAATTCTTTTGATTCGTCAATTATGAGGCGTGAGTAGTTTAATTAGGGATTTGGGGTTGATGAAGGGGTTAATCATGATTGATGGCTAGATTCTTTTCGGTTTAATTGCATGAATGCCGTTTAATTTGTGTTTGAATAATTTAATTGATATCTCTTGTAACCTAGACTGCAGCTAGAATTACAATTGCATGTAGAATGAATTAAGAGAGATCTAATTTGTTCTAGGACACATTCACACACACTTAATCGTTCACTAAGAGATTAGTAGCGATTAAGGGGCCGTAAGCTCGCTCGTCTTGGCAATAATTTAGGATCCTGTCGCATGAGAGATCAGTCTGGTCCCCTAAATTATTGTACTCTACGCCGCGAGAGCGGTAAGAACTTAGTAATGATTAGCTAGACTCAATTAAATTAAATTCATGTGATTAGGCCTGTTCTGCCAGAAATCTGGTTAACCCCGGAATCAATTCCTGTTCCCTTAGTCGTTAATTAAGGAAAACCAAATCTTTTTATTCGCTCATTAGCTTTAGTTTTAGTTTAATCAATCCATCAATCTCGCACAATTGCACTTTTATTTTATTTATTTCGTTTTAATCGCTAAAGTTTAGTTAATCTTTATTTCCCTTTTGTCCGTCCCTGTGGAGACGATACTCGTACTTACACCACTATATTACAATCTTTTTAAGTGCGAGAAAACACATATCACTATATCATATATGCCCCTTATGGCCGTATGTAGTTACTTACTTATGTAAGTTGTATATTGTGTTATTTTTCTTGATTGTGTTATGCATTTTCAACTGGTTTTGTTAAAAGAACTAAATTGTTGGTAAATTAGTTCAAAATTTTGGATATCCGAAATACCCGACCCATACCCGAGCTGAGGGAATCCGAAACATAAAATATCCGAAATATTTTTACCATTTTCTTTAAGGGTTGGGTTAAAGAATATTACCCCGATACCCGAATGGGTTTACCATTTCGCAACCCGACCCGCCAGACTCTGACCCGTGCTCTCCTCTAAGTAAGAAATGTGTATTGGCTTCTCTATCGATCATGATCTTCTGTATCAATATAGAGGCCGATCGCCCCCCTCCTGAACCACCGCCGATCAAGGAAGATGGGAGTGAATGGATTGCTTTCTTTCCGGTGGCTGGTGAAACCGGAATAATTTCTGCACTTAGCTCCTTACCGGTGGCTGGAAAAACCGGCAAGTTTAACAAATCCTTTTCGGTGGCTGGTCAAACCGGACCTATTTCGAGTAGCACGAGCAGTCAAATTGCGGGACGAGTCTACATAGTTGCAGGGTTAGCAAACATAATAACTTTTATATGACTTTTTTGTTCTTTGTCTCACCCTAGTGTAGCATTGAACGATGTGATTGACTGATTGTAATGCTTCGGTTTTTGATTGTTATGTTTCTGGTTACCCTTATCAATAATAATTAAGTTATTTGTTTTTTTTAAAAAAAACTAATGAGTAAACATTTGATATCAAACATTTATGTTCTCCATTCATTATCTATGAAATATAAAATCACCCACAACAAATGTTCCACAAAGGCACAAAGTGATCCATATTTTATGTGATATCGGTCTTTTAATGGGATCATTTTGAGAGAATATATATCTTGTCAATAATAATCACGTAATACTCCGTATTGAAATACTGCTGGACCATATTTAAGATTGAAACTTCGCAAACAATAACATGCATGTTATTTCGCAAACAAATATATGACTAGATATTAATTTGAATAAAAGGTGACTAAATCGGAAATGAATATAGTTAAACGTCCTTACATAAATATCAAAAACTAGATCGATTTTTTTTTCCTGCCTCTCCACTTGGATTCATGCCTAGCCTCTAGCACCGCAGCAAGTAGCCTCGAGATCTTTCATTTGGCTAACAATCCCAAGTTTTCCGTGTCTAGCGACCTTAGGATGTTTTCTTTTCAGACCAGACGAGACTTAATCAGATCACATCAGACCAGACTAGACCAGATTTCCGTAACCCTGGGCTAAGATACTATTTACCTTTTTGTTGTTATTTAGTCATGTTAAAACACTTTTAACTAGACTTATTTAAGTTTTAGATCATATCAAATCAGATGAAACCAAATCAAACAAAACCTAGATAATACAAGAATAACATAAATAGATATCTACCAGACCTGTTCAGATTAATTCAAATCGTAATAAACCGAACTAAATTTAAATAGATCAAACTTAATGGGATTTAATAACAATGTAGCAATGTTAGGAAGAAAGCTGTATTTTAATAACAATGTTAATGGATCTGGAGCCTCTACAGGTAGAGTGTCTTGCTTCCTCTCGATCGCCCGATCGACAATTCAACGGTCGGAGATCTTGGGCTCCACTTTTTCGCCGATCTCGAGGTCGTGTTGGTCGCACCCCTCCCGTCCGATGCGCAAGACACCCTCCTGGTCGGGTAGAGAATCTCAATCCAATGTTAATGGGATATAATACACCTTGGGTATAGCAGGACCTGTTAATGAACTACAATACGATAAACTTTGATCACAATATATAAATTAAATACTATATCATACGGACTACGGGGTATAAGATTTGTGCGCAAAGATTTTGTACTTGAGGATCGCATGAAGGATATTGTTCTATACTTGTACCATCCAACACAATTGTTAGAAACTAAATTATAAAAATGCATAAATTGGCTGTCAAGCCACATTAATTTGACGTTTCAAACAAAGCAACAGATAGACAAACAAGCTTTTGGTATTGATTAACCAATTAATGATAGAATTAATTGTCCCAACAATCCAATCACTAATCTAAAAGAGATACAGAGAGAGATCCTTCACTTCACTTCCTCTCTATCAAGTTTCATGTCTGCCCATAGCTGCACCTCTCGCCACTTCTCATGGCTGGTGAAATCGTGTATTCCCACCACCCAACACCACCCCCATTCCCCCGCTCCTCATCCTCCCACCGCTCCTTCCGCCGCCGCTCTGCTCTGCCAAACCACCATTTCTTCCCTTCCCGACGACCTCCTCCTAGAATGCCTCTCCCGGGTCTCGCATTCGTGTCTTCCTTCGCTGCCCTTGGTGTGCCGTCGCTGGTCGGACCTCCTCGACTCTCCCACCTTCCACTCCCTCCGCCGCCGCCGCGACCTCCTCCGTCTCACTCTCTTTGCTCTGTCCATTTCCGGCCATTCCCTGCTCTTCTCGGCTAGTCTCTGCTTGGGTCTTGAATCTGTGTGGAAAGTTTCATCTTTTCTTCTTGCAAACGAGGGAATTCATCAGGGGACGTTTTCCTCTCTGTTCTCTCATTCCCGATTGGTCGCCATTGGCCGGAGAATTTACGTCATTGGCCGGACGGCGATGATTTGTTGCGACACGTGGACCGGGACTGCGGCCTCGTTACAGGGGCCGATTGCTTCGAGGAAGAAATTTGCTGCGGCGGCCGTGGATGGACGGATATATGTGGCCGGCGGCTGTGGGCGGACGGATGCGGTGGAGGAGTATGACCCGCGGAATCGGAAATGGCGCGTGGTGTCCACGGCGGCCAGGAAGCGGTACGGGTGCGTGGGGACGGCGGTGGACGGAGTATTCTATGTGATCGGAGGACTGAAAATCGGGTCGTCGGGGAATGAAGGGGTGGTGGTTCCGGGCTCACGCGCCGCTGGATCGGACGCAGCGCATTTGTACGCGAGCTCGATGGATTTGTATGACGTGGCGTTAGGGCAGTGGCTGAGGAGCCGCACCGTCCCCGGCGGCGGATGCGTGGTGGCGGCTTGCGCCGCGGGCGGATTCGTTTACGTTCTATCGAGCCACGCCGTGGAACTCTCGTTCTGGAAGTTCAACGGCACGCGCAAATCGAACGGCTTCGGGGAGTGGGGCCGTCTCACGTCTCCGCCGCTTCCGGCGCAGGTTAGACTGGACAGCACCGTGAGATTCGGCTGTGTAGGGGCGGGAGAAACGGTAGTGCTGATCCAAGTGACGGGCTGCATCGACGACCTGCTCAGGCGGAGCGGCAGAAGTCAGAGGGGATTCAAGGAAGGACTTGTGATGGTGTACGATTGCGCCGCCGGGGAGTGGAGCAGGGGGGCGGATTTGCCGGAGGGAATTCGACGCGCCGCCTGTGTGACGGTTGAGTGCTAGTTTGCGCCGCTTGGGCCTTTCAAGTTTCAAGGGTAAACACGGGCCGGGCTTGCAATATTGGGGAAGCAAAAGTCGGGCTTACCCTCACCTTATTTTTCGCCATTGAGTCAAAGCATCTGATTTTTATGTCGGCACAAATCAATTGTTTATCATGCCAAATAATGGTGTTAAAAAACTTAAAGTTAGTACTCGCATGCTTCCAAAGATTCTTTTCTCACCCATTTCTAGGAAAATTGGGCACAAATCTTCTTTGTGTTTGGATCTGATTCTCAAAAGTGATTCTGCTTTTTCAGGGAGCAGAAGCAGAAGTTGAAGTGTTTGGGTGAAATTCCAGAAGCACTTCTGGTGCTCTAATTTACTCTCAGAATCGGTTTTTTAGAAGCTGGTAGGTACTAACTTCTGAAAACTGATTCTGATTCTGCTCCAAACACCCCCTAAATTGTAATTAAGAATGTTTTATTTTGGACTGTTTTCAGTCCCAGACCATACTTAAACAGACCAGACCAGACTAAAACAGACCAGACCAGACCATAATTTCTTAGTTATAAAATACACAGAGACCAAACGTTTACCAAACCAGACCAAATCAGAGCAGACCAAATCAGACCAGACCAGACTTAAACAGACCAGACCAGCAAATTTCAGTCCAAAAGAAAACATCCTAAATTAGCTTCGGTCTGTAAGGATATTTGTAATTTAATTCTAATTAAATTAGCTTCAGTTTTTAATCAAATCATACTCAAATAGATGAGACTAATTTGGATCAGATAAGATTTTCACACTTTGATTATTATACACATAAGTAGACATTCATTAGATCATTCAGATCAATCATATTGCGTGCATAACCATTACATTCGCTTGATCAAATAATCTAAAGAGCTAATAGAACATTCATTGCTCAACGATTTGATCAAAACATTTTTCAAATAGTGTAACAGTTGTATTTAAATTGATAAAGCGGCTGAACAAACATCACTTTGTCAATTTTGCGATTTATGTGTAATAAAATTTGTAACAACTATGTTATTGTTATAGACACTTTCCGTGACAAAGTTCCTTAATAAAATCAGTGTTTTTTTTGTAGTGCTACACCATATACTTCGTATATGTTCTATCGAGGACTGAATTATTGGTATATGTAAGATAATAATTCTAGAGATTAGTTCAAAGTTGAACCACCTATTATTATAATTAGTACATACCAAAATTATTGGTATATATTTGAATGATTTTAGTTATCACTAATAGTTATACACATTCTTCGATCGATGACTTCTTCACAACTTCCTTAACAATCTATATATAGCCTTATTCTACTGGGCATTTTTATATTTAGGTTCTGGAAGCTAGGCTATTGCACACTCATTTTGATACTTATAAGTCTTATAAGTGTTGCTTTTTTATAAATATGTGCTCAACAATCTGTATGAATTGCTTAATACATGTTGAGTATGTTTTATACGCATTCATCACTAATCTTCATCTTTATTAATTAATTTATTTAATTTATACAGGTGTTAAATAGAATTGATCTCATACATTCACAAACTTGTAATATACCTAGCTGCAGAAGCGAATCTACAATTAGAGGCCAATGAAAGCCAGAATTTTAAAGAAAACGTACACCACAACAGCACAACGTTTATATACAGTATAAAACAAATTCATTTACTGTATGTTTATCTTCTTTCCTTAGAGGCCAATGAAATTAAAGCCAATTCGAATTGCCTCTCATCTTCTTTTAAAGAAATGTCATGTATTCAATTCGTATAGAAATTATATAGTTCATGTTAGCACGTTTATGGAGTTCGTTGCCATGTCGGAAACTTGGAGCATACTCACTCTCTAATTGTTCTTCCATAAGACAAAGGGAAAATGGAAACTAATAATCCAACCTTTTAACGGTCTTCTTTTAATAGTCCCACCTTTTCGTTATTCATGAATAATCCAACCTTTGCACCTCATCTTCATTCACTGGTCCCTGACCGGTTGATGACCTGATATTCCAATTTATTTTCTTATCTTTGTAAAATATTATCTTTGTGAAAGGTGGAATTTATGGTTTAATAGTTTGCAAAGATAAGAAAATAACTCGGAATAGCAGTTCATCAACCGGTCGGGGACCAATGAATGAAGATGAGGTGCAAAGGTTGGATTATTTATGAATAACGAAAAGGCCGGACTATTAAAAGAAGACCGCTAAAAGGTTGGATTATTAGTTTCTAGTTTCCTTAAGACAAATGACACACAAATTAAGATAGTGAGTATTGTATAGCGAAAAGTTGTACACCTGAGAGAGAAATGTCTAAGAAATGTTAGGGCTGGGACTTAGAACCGAAAACCGGGAAAACCGATCCGAACCGAACCGAAATTTCTGGTTCGGTTCGGTTCCTATAATTTTGGACTACACTTTTTTCGGTTCGGTTCCTATAGTCTTTCATCGGTTCGGTTCCGGTTCGGTTCCAGTTCGGTTCCGGTTCCTGGCCAGGAACCGAACTTCTCATACACTGCATAAGTAATCTTCATTTGAGGTGTTTCTGGGTGGAATTTTTCGATGAAATTTTGTGAGGTTGTTTTCTATTAAATAAAGATTATATCCACCAAATTTGAGCTTAAAATGAAACCGGGAAGTTAGTTAAATAAATTATTGAAAAACATTACGCCAAAATATATAAAAAAACGCAATTTTTTCAATATTTTATTTAACTCACTTCCGGATTGAATTTTAAGCTGAAATTTGGTATATGTAATCTACATTTCATGTAGAACATGCTCACAAAACTTTATCAAAAAATTCTTCACGGAAGTACCTCAAATGAAGGCGGTCAGACGGCGTTCCGGGTAAAAAGTTCTTGTCAAGAATATTATTCTTGCATAATATACCTTATATATTGTGGACCACGCCAATCCGAGTAGTTGTCATTTTAATACTTTAGTCCATTTTTATATTTATTTTTTGCTTGTAATTGAATTTGTTATTGGAGTTCACTACAAAAAAAGAATTAACGTTCTGTTGATTACGTTGTTTATTACTACATAGTTTTTACTTATTGTGCATTACTAGTAGAAGAATATTATTTGGGGTTGAACTACCTGCTATTGGATGTGTACTCTGGGGCTATTGACCATTTTTGCTTGACAGTTGATGCCTATTTTACATCGAGATTTTTGTTATGTTTAAATTTAATGTTGTACTTGGATATGTCTTTGGATATTTGAAGATTGAGATATCATGCATTTATAATGTAATGGTCATAATTTCGTGATTTAAAATTTGTATTTTTTATGTAACTGAAGTGTGTTCATTTCAGGAGGATAGTAAATTTTTGTTAGGAACCGAAAATAGAACCGAACCGAACCGAATTTAACTAGAACCGAACCGAATTTAACAACTACATTTTTAACTAGAACCGAACCGAATTTAACGCCTAAGATTTTTATACGGTTCCATCGAATTTTAACAAGAACCGAACCGATCCTAGGCCTAAGAAATGTTGTGAATTGAACTCAAGGACCATCGTGTGAGAAGTTTCTCAAATTCATCTACTTAGTAACTTGAACTCAATAACACTTGCAATGGAAGAGTTTTAAATGTAGGGAATGGTTCAACTTCACAACATTTATTTATCTTAATAATAAAAAAAAACAGATTCTTAGTACTACGTATATGTTTTTTACTTGTCCCATATTTTGCCCATATATATAGGTAATTTGTCAAAATTTAAACTTGTGTAAGTAAACGCGGACAACTTGAACATCCAAACCCAAAGCATATACACCAAAAATAGTTCAATAAAATATGAAACTCATTTGGTAACCTCATATAATAAAATTTATGAGATTCTGGTTCAAATGATATAATTATTTTTCGAAAAGAACAAAAATGCATGAAAAGATAGATTGAATCTTTGCTGTTAACTGCTTTCTTAAAAAAAATAACTTTACTTAATTTGATTATTTATAAAATTGATAAATTCAAAATAGGAGTTTTTGTGTGTTGTTGAGTCATCCTTGTCCTCCGTATTTGTGTAATATGCACATTGGCCAGAAACGCAGAAACATAACCTTATCCGCTCCTTTTTCAGCAAAAAACAATGGCTACGGTTGGAGGCATTTCCGGCGAGAAGGGGTTCCAAAACAGCCTAGATGTCGAAGCTCTTGCTCAGTTTGCCGTCTCCGAGCAGAATAAGAAAGAGGTTCTCTCTCTTCGTGTTTGTAAAAATTGCATTCAATAACAGATTATCTTTCGAACTTTTCGATTTTCCTCTCGATTCGGCGTCTGAGCCCACGGATGCTCGCTCGCTGTGTTTATAATTCGTGGATGCGTCAAATCCTGTGAATTAAAACGTGCGTAGATTTGCATAATTGCATTTCATCTCTTCCGATTGTTTCTTCTCCCGTCTTCTTTTCCATAACATTAACATATGTATGATGTGTATTTTCAGAATTCCAACTTGAAGTTTGAGAAAGTGGTGAGTTTGAAGCAGCAGGTGGTCGCTGGGACGATTCACCATATAACGCTGGAGGCAACTGATAAGGATAGTAATCACAAAAAGGTTTATGAAGCTAAAGTCTGGGAGAAGGCATGGATGAACTTCAAGGAATTGCAAGATTTCAAAGCTATTGGTGATGCCCCTACTTCTTCTTAGCTTAACGCTTTGCTACTAAAACCATTTTTTGGAGTGGTGGTAGTAATTATCTTGGACAATAAAGTCTGTTGTTGGTGTTATGTTATTAACTTGTTACTATTCCAAGTAATAGTAATAGTAATAAATAAACATTTTAAAGAGATTATGTATCAATGTATGAACCATGATGATCAATAGTATAACATTGATGATTTAATGGCTGTCTATCCAGTTTCACATCTTAGATGGTGTGTGTTTTATGCCTTGTAATGCAATCCCATTACATTCATTCATGACAGTAAAAAGGTGTGATCCCAAACCCCATCCATGAGGGCTGAGGCCCCCCATCACCATCTATGAGGTCTCGAGAAACCGGGAAACAAACTTACTGGGAAGGTTAAATTGAACTGTGACTACAATGTGGTTGATAAAAGGTGGGGTTTGCACCTATACTAACAGGATCTGTTGAACGGGATCCGATTCACCTCCCATTACACCCATTCATTCATGGGATTAGGTATTATCGTCAAGAAAGGTGATTTTGAAGGAGCTTATCTCATAATGGGGTGATTGAGGTTATTCTCATAATGGGGTGATTTTAGAAGCCTTTTAGATCTTGATGATATCCCAATCTCTACTCATTTGATTTAGACATTCTAAACATCCCTTAATTGCTTTGCGCATAAGCAGAAGTCAAGGAGAATTGTATCATGTTTTATTGTTAAGGCATTATAAATGAAGCTTTGATGCGCATCATTGTGGTGGCATAAACATACACCTCATGGTTTAGGTTTGTACTTAAGCGGGTTCTAATAAGAGTGGATACTGAACCTTAACCTGTGCTTTCGGTTTTGATCAGTTTTAATACTATTTCAGAGGAACCAAAAAGAATGTGGTTTGGTTGTAGTCTGTAGACCAGAATTAGCCCAGCCAGTAACTCATGACTTCATGAGGCATAGTAAGTTTCCTAAGTAAAAACTTGACAGTCATATGCAACCTATTGAGCTAACCTTGATGGTCTCTCATCCGTCATTGTCCTTCCATGTGCAGCCAATGTAACAAAGAATGAATTATGAGATGAATAACTACACAAAATATTTAAAGATTATTTCTTTACTCAACACAAAATACTGTAATATTTTTAAAATATAAACTTAGTATCATTTCTTTCTGTTCAGATTAAAACGCATATTCTAAATTACTCCTTTTGTAATTATCAATTAATTGATTTAGTTAAATAAGGTGTAGATTTGAATAAAATAAGGAGTATGACCGCAATCAAGGAAGTTATCACGAAGAGGTTCCAGTATGATTTAGCACAAGTCCTTGCAAAGCATTTTCATGGAACGTGAAAGAGGAAGATAAGCAAAGAATTTTTGAAAGAGCATATTGCACTAGAATTGATCAAGACAACCATTAACAAGGGGAAAAGCATATTCATATATGATCAAACAACGCCAACACCAAATCCAAGCACATCTTAATGTCTCTTTCTTTTTTCCTTTTATTCAACCATCAAACTTATCCCCCGTCCCTATATCCCTATAAGGAAGGAGAGGAAACAAATTGCCGGGGCAAACTAAAAAGATCCTTCTCTTCGAAAGGAGAAGTCCACTCACGTGACACCCCACCAGCTGATGTTTCCACGGCCGAACCCATCCCTTCCTGCAACCTGGTAGGAATTGAAATGCCATCAGACAAAATGGGTCCCATAGCAACCCTTCCCGGCGGAAATGTATGGTGTTGGTGGTTGTTTTGCATGGGTGGGTTCATTTTCGACCACAGGCCTCCCGACGGAGCTGATGAAGAGAAATTAGAACCCAGACTCCAGTCTATGGTGTTGTAATCCAGATGCGGCACTGAAAACCCACTGTTCCAATCCACATGAGGAGAAGGCGGACCTAATGGGCTGTGGCTGCCTAACCCAGAGAAGAGCCCAAGGGAGGAAGCCGCAGCAACTGTATGAGGCTGAAATGTACTACCACCAGTTCTACTACTCCATATACTGTTTCCCCTGCTGCTAATTCCTGGGGATTCATGTGCGCCCCCATTACTTGACACATTTTGATACTGTTGCGGGAGATAATGATGATGACTGAATAATAATTGGTTTGATGTACTGAAACTGTCATGGCTAGGGTTTCTCATGCCTGGAACATGTGTCACCATCCCATCAGGCTTCATAGGTTCAACACCATGTAGGTACCACCCCCCTCCACCAGGAGGTGATGAGCTTACTATGGTTGATGGTGGAACCCCCTGTTGCTTTGCATTGATGGACTGTTGCTGTGGTCGTTGCATTACTATAACCGGTTCTTTAATGCTTCCTAGCTGTAGGTTCTTCAGTTCATTCCCAACAGCTATGTATCTATGAGGTTCACTAGTCACCATCACTGCTGGAGGTGGTGGGGTTTGTGAAGTAGTTAAAGAATTATATGAAGATGCATTTGATATTATTGCACTTGGCCATCGCTTATCAGGAGAAGGAGTGATTGCTGGTGGTGCCGGCTTGACCCATTCTGTTTTTGGTTGGATTCCCTTTGATGATTGTTGTATACTTTTGCCTGCTGGATCTATAGAAGTATTTGGTATTTTTTCATCCTTACGCTGCTGTATAGAGACCAATGGAGCAGGTTTTGCAGATAGAATTGTTGATATCTGATTACTAGTGGTCAATGGGGGTTTACTGGTTTCATCTGGTTTTGATTGCACGCTATTTGCAGTATCCTGCTTTTGCGCCCGAAGAGTTTCTTCAGCCTTATTGAGATCACCTTCACAGGCAACCACGACCCTCTCAACCTCCTGCTTGGAGCACTTATACCTACTCTCAATGTCTGTAATACGAGAAAGCTCATCGGATATATCGATTTTCAAATTACCTCCACCACCGTCAATTTTGTGTTCTTTGCGCTTATTGTTATCTGCTTCTTCACCTTCTTCAAACAGCCACGCCACTGATTCCTCTACTCTTCCTTCATTCAGAATGAGAGCCATTGTTGCTCGTTCTGAAGAGAATCCCATTGCCACAAGCTGTTGAGCAAGTGATTCCAACTTTCTTGACATTAAATACCCGCTGCACTTTTCATGCAGTTCTTGGGCCCGTCTCTCCTTTTGGCGTTGATGTTTTTTCTCATTCTTTTGACGGATTTTTTCGCGTTTGTCATTATCAGCACCAGGCACTGTTTCTTGTTTGGGGGTAGGAGGGTGAGATGTTTTTTCTTTGTGGTCCTCTGACTCACCAGACCAGCTACCATTGTTCGAAACAGAATCATACTCCCCGCCGTTTCCAAACGAGTTGCTACTTTGATCATCCGTCTCATCTATGTTTTTGAAGCGGCCATTAGCATGAAGTGAAGAGGCAGAAGAACCAGGTACGGAGTCCAGAGCATGAAATGTTCCCAAAATTGGATTGTATCCACTGGTCAGGGTCCCACCACTAAGATTTGCCTGGTTCAAAGACTTTGAAGGGGTCTTAGGGGGTTCCTTCCCAGACTTTTTGTCCTTGGACTTTCTAGATGCAGGAGACATATCTCTGTTTCTGATTCCAAAACCTAAGAATCAGAGCAATGTGAATAAACTTAGTTAAAGAATGCAAAAAAATTCAAAACCACCTTAATTGAAAAGGCTTAGTTAACGAATGCAATAAAAACAACCATTCCAAAATATCCAGGTCTAACTAGAAATAGAAGGATGTATTGGGCAATCCAACTTTGAATCAGAGTTCTAAATGAATTTGCGGTATTGTCTAATTTCAAGGAGGTAGGAACAACAGTGCTGCATTAACTAACAGCTTGCAGAAAACATTTAAGCTCGGCAAATAATCCAGAGCATGAAAAAATATAGTCTAGAAATTAAACAAACATATTCAGAGTGCTCCGCCAAATCTAGCCTAACCAATGCCCAATCCATCAGAAGATGTCATTTGAAGCATTGAAAGAGTTCTTCTAATAAATGAAGATGGCAAAACAAAAAAAAGGTATAATAGATATCCATACATTTAATTTATATCCTCACATTATTCAGGGTAAATATATTATCCTAGAGAAAAAAAATATGACTCATCAATACAACAAGTGCACAAAACTCCAGATACCAATCCGGCTATATGAATACACTTAAGGAGCGATCACCAATTACACGCCCAAACGCAGATCACGACACAGCAATCTGGCCGCATGTAATCCTCCAATCCCAAACGGATACCCCGATTCCAAGGTCAATCTCTAAGAGATGTACATTCCAATCCCAATATTTGAATTTACTATCGACAACGAACAGATACAGCAAAACAAACGAGGTTGAAGGAACTGGCGGGATACGTACCTTGAACGAGCGAAAAGGCGGCGGATCGGGGAACAGGAACCGGTGCGACAGAGATAAATCGCGTTGTGTGAGGGGCTGAGATTGAGAGGATTGGTTCGAGAAGGAGATTGAATTGGATAGCTTGAGGAAAAAGAGAGATGGTGAAATGAAACTGAATCGACGAAATTAGGGTTCAATGTCCGCTCAGACGTGTGTGGCAGAATTTCAATTTTGATTTGTCTTGTTTGTCCAATTGATTGACTAAAGAAAATTAATTAAAACTGAGTCATTTGGAGTTTTAAAATTACGGGTGGCTGCAAATATAATACCCGTAACTCCTTTTCGGCTGGTCAAATCGAATCTATTTCGAGTAGCATGAGCAGTCAAATTGCGGGATGAGTCTACATAGTTGCAGGGTTAGCGAACATGATACCTTTTTTTTTTTGAAAAAAAATCCAATATATATGATCCACTTCATAGTATATATGATCCACTCTAGAGCCAGACTTTTGAAAAATTACTGGACATGTGATTCGCATTGAGAAATAGGAAAAAGAGTATATAAAGTTTTCAAAAATTATTCGTTATTATGTCCAACGGTTGGATACTTGCATTACGTTTCAATCTTTTATCTTAATAAAACCACTCTCCTATGAGATGACATACAATATTGAAAAGATTTATTTGCCCGAAATTTGTAAAGCAAACATTTGTACGTAATTGTTTATATACACTAATTGTCTGTCTATATAGACAATTATATTCAAATGTGTGTCAAATGTGTACAAGTTTTGTGTACATAAAAAATTGTTATAAAATATATGGACTCTTGCCCGCGATCCTATAGAATTGAACTTTGAAAGATATCCACTTGTGTCTAATATTTAGATTTTAGGGAGAGACTTTTATAATATTTATAGGCATTTTCACGTAGTTGAGCATATCAGGCCCATACCGACGGCCCGGCCCACATTTTCGTATAAACATCTCTTTGGGAGTCCATGTAAACCTCCAGACGTCCATATTCTCGTTCATCATTCAGCCCTAATGACTATTATTCACCTTTTTTAGCTTTATCTCTTCAAATAATATTTCGTATATGTTTGTATTTTTTTGTGGTATATGTTTGTATCTTTAATATCCATCAACGGTGCTTTCATTGAGAGATTTGAACAAAAAGTCAAATTAGAGCCTCCCAAAATTATTGCAATCTTATAAAATCAATAAAGAAATGGTAGAAAAAATAAGGAATAACTACCGAATAAGCCCTCGAACTTACATAAAAAGTGCAAATCACCCCTTATATAGGAGGCTTTGTCCGGTTGTCGTCATTTGGGGCGGTTCCTGGTGGAATTTTTCGATGAATTTTTTTGAGCATCTTATTCATTAAACCTAGTTTACTCGTACCAAAATTCAGCTAAAACTTCAATCGAGAAGACAGTCAAATGAATTTTTGAAGATAACTGTGCAGTTAAACAACACAGTATATTTCAGAAAATCATTTGACTGCCTTCTCGGTTGAATTTTTAGCTGAAATTTGGTATGAGTAAACTAGACTTAATGAATAAGATGCTCAAAAAAATTCATCAATAAATTTCACCAGGAACCGCCCCAAATGGGGACAGTCCAGACAGAGCCTCCTATATAAGAGGTGATTTGCACTTTTTATGTAAGTCCGAGGGCTTATTTGGTAGTTCTCCCCCAAAAAATAATGAAGGATTTAAAATTTTTATGCTCGGGAGCTTTCCCGGTCAAATCCGGAATTGCAATGTTAGGAACCGCATAAGAGTCGGTATCTTCGCCCAATTCCGCCAAGCCTAAGATTTGAATATCCTAACCGCCAGCTGCTCCATCTCGCAAAGAAGTATCTCTCTTTGGCCTCCACTATGTCACCTCTGTTGCAACGCCCAAGAAGACAAGGGTTCCTACTACAGCGGCAGGTGCTCCAATGATGTCCCCTCATCAGTCAGAAAGACAATTCTGATCTTACTTTTTTCTATTATTAAACAAATTAGCATGTGAAATCAAAAGTCATGTGTAGTATATATATTTGACTCTAGGCTCAATCAGGCCCCTCGACTGGCCGAGGAGACCGCCGCACAAACAGCCTAGAAAGACACAAAGGACTACATAAATTGTCTGGACAAACACCTTAGTTCGTGTCTGGCCATCAGCCTCCAACACCTCGTCCCCAAGTAAGGACTTCAGTCACTCAAGAAAACGGGCCAACAATGCAAAGTAATGACAACAAGGACAAGGGGTTTCAACCCCTCAGCATCGATCACTTCAGTTAACACTAGTGCCACGCGTTAAGTTTTTCACATTGTAAGTCTTTGGTCATAGACTAATTAATATTCATGTATACGTGCATTTAGTGAGCTTAACATTTATTACTAGTATAAATATCCAACACACAATCACTATCGCAACAGCAACCTGCAGACCCGGGAGATAAGGCTCAAAGTGTTTTGCGGCATAATACTGGCAATCAAATACCGGTATGAGAATGACTAAGAGACAAGTTGATGGGGCCGATAACCTTTCCAGGTGGGTAGGTGTACATGGAGAACAGTGTGGGATGAAAGTCTTTTTTATGAAGAAGAAAATCAGGGAATAATTATTAACTATTAAGGGGTAACAATTAAAAAGCATAAGAGTCACTCAGGAAAAAGCACACCCAAGAAATAATCATAAGCTGCTATTAGTCACCCCAAAGGCACACATGTAATACTTGAAATTAGCTTAAATGGATTAATAATACTACTCACACTAATAAGGTGCATCCCTTAACCCACCGTAGGTGGGAGCCTTTGCGGTACTGGGGTAAATGAAAATGAATGATACTAATAAGGTGCATCTCCTTTAAAGGGCGCACACGGGTGAGAACAAAATGTGCAGTAAAAGCCTTGCTTAGTCTGTGATAATATTGCTCGATCTGAGTCGCATGTAGGAGTAAGTGAGTAACGACCTCAAACCTTGCGAGGTCAGGATGTTACAAGACGTCCATATGAAAGAGTATGAAACCATTAACGAAATAATTGTGTAGTTGTGTAGTTAGATCAGAATGCCACTCGACAATCAAAGAGGGGTGACCCTTGCCCTCTTTAAAACGGTGAACAAAATTGCACCAACATACAACAAATGTTAATCAGTTGGTGTAGATCGAGTTGATCAGGAATGAGAATTGGAAAAAACAGAAAAGGGCACCCAATGCAACAAGTTGCTCTGTCTGCGTAGGCCAACAATGTGTGAGAATGGTGTACACATTTACCCACTAAACAATGTGTGCCTACGTAGACAACTTGTTGCATTGGTTTTCTCCCCCCCCCCATTCTCACTCCCCGCCAACTCTATCTACACTTCAGCATTTTTTTTTAAAAATACCCAGTGCTCTTCTTTACTTTCATAGCAATCTGTGCCTGGCCTTCAGGCTTCAACATGTATCAATTTAGAAAAATGCTCGAGGTACACAAAATGTGTACACATATCTATCCTTCACAGAAGTTTTGTCTGTCACTGACAACTCATTTTGAATTATGTGTGACAGACAAAATTTCTGTGAATGACAGACATGTGTACACATATACACATTTTATGTACACATTTTGTGTACCATTGCAAAACTCATCAATTTATGGATGCTTTTTGCTTCTGCTTTCCAGCTTGTGGTGGGAGGTTGATGGGTTTAGTCAATATTCCCATTTGACACTCACACATGCTTGTACATTACATGGGTTAAATAGAACCAAACAAAAAAACACTATTGTGTGACTCATATCATCTTTTCCATGACATCAAATTTCACCCACCAGAGTTAAATCCCAGTTAAACTGACAGAAACGCAATCAGAGCAGCTTCGACCATAGCATTAGATTGATGATGATCAATCTCCCTTTTCTATCGTCTTCTGTAACATTCCTTGGTCGTCCCAAGCCTGCACTTCAAAATCACAGCAATGCCGCGAACTCATTTCGTAAATTCACTTGCAATTGGAATTTCATGGGCGAAAATTCTTCAGTTTTACCAACTTTGGTATCATCTGGTGGCCGCGGGCGTTTTGATGCTGCTTTTAAGTCCTTCCCTGGAAAACCATCCTCTGGACAGCAGGCACTAGAAGTTGAGCAAGTGGAGCATGAGGTTCGAAGGTTGTTTTCCAACCTCAATCAATCAACTTTGAAGAGAGAACCTGGTAATAACCAGAATAATTCATGCAGATATAATGTATTCTCTCTCTCACTTTGACACTCATTATTACTTGTTTTTCTCCTGTGCTGCTCTATAGGAAGCCTTACCAGTGCAATTTTTCTTGTTGCTGGCACCAGTGTATGTTCAAAGTGGTATTGTTGTACACATCAGTTATGGTGCTTGGTTTTCAGTGTTTCTTTGAAATATTTTACTGAGCAATTCCAATGCAATGAATTCTTGATAAATAGATAGGAGCAGGTATACTTGCTATTCCTGCAGTGACACAAGAATCCGGATTTATTGGCTCTGCAGTTACCTGCATTATCTGTTGGTTTTATATGGTAAATGAGTCTCCACTTATTTGAATGGTTTTTTTCAGTCCTCTTCTTATGGAAAAAGAAGACCATTTATTATCAAAAGGTGCCTGCTTGGTTTATATTGCTCCTCATTATGCATCATAATCATGAAAATGTTTCAGATCATATTTCTAGTTATTGCTTTACCCCTCCTATCATCCCCAGTTCACCTATGTTTACAAATTATGCGTTGAAATCTGAAATGGTGCAGGTGGTAACTGGGCTACTAATTGCTGAAGTCAATGTGAAGACTATGTCTCAACTAGGTTCCAGTGGTGTGTCCTTGGTAATTTATATTATCATCATCTTATGATCTGAAAACGGGATTTCCTCTTTCCTTAGACAATGACATTTATGATACTACTAAGTAGTAAGTACTCCGTACTACATATGATATGACTAAATCATTAGTATCTATAACAATAATCGTCATCCTCATCATTGTCATCTTAACTCCCACTACTTGGGGTTAGTGCCATGAAATCTATAAGGGTGTAAAAATTAGGTTAACACTATAAACTCTTGCAAAAAAAAAACACCCTGACAAAGCTTCATCCTAGACATCGTTCCTATCACAACCTTGTAAAGAAAGAATAAGCATCCTCGATATCTTTATGAAATCAAAATCAATTTTGATGAAATAATAGTCCCTAATAACAGCTTTTATGTGATCTGTTGTTATAAGTGAGGTTGCAATGATCTTCATTTTCTAATTACATTTAAGCTTCATGAGTTGAGACT